ACAGGAGACCATTAACTGATTAAAGATAAAGCCAACAGACCTTCTTGTTCAGGCATTGCTTGGCACTAGAAGACAATAATCCTAAAGCATATCAACTTCATTTTAAACCTTTCCTTGTATCCTTTATCCAAGTTCCTGTTTCTACCTCAGTCCTACTTAAGAAATGCTGCCTTGTGTGATAGAGATCATGGATTTAAAGTAGGGATTAATTTAATTTTCAGTTGACTATTTTAGCAGGAAATCATACTTTATCTGAATCTGGCTTTTTTTTTCTCCTGGCTGATGTTTGCTTGACAACTGCAATTATCATAATCACTAGGTTTGTAATTTCAAACATTTTTTGCAGGATTAATGTTCAAGCCAGGGACTTGACTAGAGCCTTCACCCCCAATCTGGCTTCTGTAATGATATTTAAATTAAATATTTGCCTTGTCTGTTATTATATGATGTTTAGCAATTACAAAGTAAGCATAGCGGGAATTCAGAAAAAGTCCTAGTTTGAACATAATCTTCCAGAGGCACAACAAACCTCAGATAACAGATAACAGAGTTGGAAGGGACCTTATAGGTCATCCAGTCCAACTCACTGCCCAAGCGGGAGACCCTACACCATTCCTGATAAGTGGCAGTCCAATCTCTTCTTGAAGGTCTCAATCTCCTCTCAAAGTACAGCCAACAATTTTTCAGGAATCAGAGCTACAAACATCAATTGATTTGCTAGGTCAACTTGATCACTGTTGTTATAGAAACCTTTTATTGATCTCACAATTCTGAACAAGTTCCTCAGTACTCTTTAATTTTCTCTGCCTTCTCTCTCATCAGAGAAACACAGGTGGATGCTGGGAAATATAGTAGCTTTGAAAGGTTGATGAAATAAATGAATAAATACCATAGCTCTTGAATTACAAATAGATGCCTGCTTTAGAAAGAATTCCAATAGAGAAGATTATAAAGTCAAGTTGTTATAGGGGTAAGGAGAGAATTATATTTGCTGAAATCACTCTTACTGTGGGGCTAGCTAAGACCTACTTACACTATGTTATTTATCTTCTCTGGGAACAGGGGACTTTGGAAAAAGGGCTTAAACTTTAACTACCGAGAAATATCAGATCTTTGATACAAAAGACATCAAAACCAGATAAATTTTCAGAGAACGAGAGAACTATAGCAACTCAGAATGAAGATAATATTGCAGGCTTGATCAAAATCTTCACTCATGGAGAGGCTTGTAAAATCCTCACTCGTGGAGAGGCCGACAAGCTTGCTTTCCATGAGTGAGGATTTTGATCAATTCTGCAATTTTATCTTCATTCTGAATTGCTACAAGACAGGACCTGCTAAAAAAGTGAGCCCAATCTTACAGGTCAGAAGGATATTCTCTTTTTGTTGAAAAACACCTTCTCCTTAAAGTGGAAAGAGAGTGATGAGGATAGAATGGATGTTTGCAAAATACTGCAAAACCAGAACAGCTGTTGATTCCTTCCTCTTTATCAGGCAAATAAGTAATAACATCTTGCTTCTGTCAAGAGGCAGTTAGGAATAGGATAAATTAAGGCACCACTTTAAAAGTACTTGTTAATACAGGAAATGGGGGCTGAGCTCCGCCTTCCAAGACACTGTTAATGTCATTCTTATGCAAATTTGGTGAGATTGAATGATAAGCTATCTTTCTTAGTTATGAGTACCCTTTGAGAGCTCAACATTAATATTTTTACACATAGATGTTTCTGTGTTTACACAGTAAGTTTTGAGCCATTTTTCATGATTGCTGAGATAATTTCTTGTAACTTTCATATAGAAATGCAATTATTTACCAAATGTGTTCTTGTCTCTAAAACATACTTTAGATACAGTGGCTTTGTACAGATGAATACTTTTTTGTTGTTGTATGAATTAGATGCAGTTCCCATTGTAGGATCTCATTTGGCTGAATAGTACTACATCTGTAGTGCGTTATAGTCTTTGGACATTACATAGCAATTATCTTGTGTTTTCATTTGGGGGGGGGGGCATATTTAGAATAGATATTTTTCCATTAAAAGTAGGCCAAAGTTAAATCAAGATAGTATTACGATAAGATATTCAAACAATGTGTTTCCTTTTTTAAAGTGGACTTAATGTGTTTAGATTTAAAAATAGAACGTAGATTTCTTTGTTTAGAAACCTTTAAATAAAAATAGTCCATAGATGTCTGAGCTGCCTATAAATTTCTTTTAAATAACAGCTACACATTTTTTTCCATCGGATGACATTGCTTAATATTTTCAGACAGTTGCTATGCTTCGTTTGTTTTTCTGACTCCATAAAATATAATGACTTTAATACCTTCCAAAGTTGCATTCTCCTGCCAAAAGCTAAAGTCCCCACTTCCATATTGGGCCTGGATTTTTTAAAGATCTCATTCTTTTATAAGATTAACCATTCGTCAGGATTTCTGTAGCTAATCCACACAGAGTTTTCTAAATTCCAGCAGTCAGTAATACAATGTCCACATGCGTTATGCTTTTTTTTTTTTTTGACATAATTTAATGATTGTGAATAGGTGATGCTTTTTTTTGTCTTAACACAATCACATGTCTGAGCATAAGACAATGTTACCAAAAATATCCTGGTCAACTGTAATGGTGCAATATTTTCACATGGCTGCACAAATTAAAAATAGTAAAGCGCCTGGATATGGTCATGAAAATATTCTGCTTGGCTGAATATCCTTCAGGATGGGAAAAATCAACCTCATCTTAGGATGAAAAACAGAAACATTTTCCTCTATTTAGAACAGGATGGTCAGTCTGATAGCCAGGGTCACATTCAGCCTCAGGACTCCCTTTTTTATGCCCCCTAAAAAGCCATCAGCATGGTTTTCTGCCACTTGGAGATGGAATATACTGAATGAAAAGCCTCTAATGCAGGGGTCTCCAGCCTCGGCCATTTTAAGACTTGTGGACTTCAACTCCCAGAATTCCTCAGCCAGCCATGCTTGGAGATTGAAGCCCACAAGTCTTAAAGCAGTTGAGGTTGGAGACCTGTGCTTCAGTGTACAGTAAGTTTTGAAATAAGCTGAATATCATTTTTTTTAAAAAAGATGGTGGGTAATAAAACTATTTTGGGGGAAAAGACTCATTTAGGGGCAACTGAGATGTGTTTTCACTTTGCAGCACAGCTGATCTGAGTGCAGGTCTCTCCCTTTCAAAAGATAGATAGCTCACGGCCACCAAAACTTTGCCCAGCCCTGATTTAGACAGTTGTCAGGATTCAGATGCCCAGGAAATTGCCTGATATTAAGCTCATCTGGTCACATGAAAGGTACAGGGATTCTTGGGCTTGTGAGGTAGGTGTGACTGGGAGATGGCTATTGAACATCCTTCCCATGATGTTTGGGCTGGTCTTGGAAAAGTAACCCAACCTTTATGCTCCCTTTATTAAAACGATTCCTGGCAGCTCTAATCAGGAATATTGGAGAAACTCTTTTTCCACTTCACTGGTATCCTAAGAGCATACAGGTAATCCTTGACTTACGACCACAGTTAGCCCCAAATGTCTGTTGCTAAGTGAGACTTGGTTTAAGCGGCTTTTGCCCTGTTTTATGACCTTCCTTGCCACAGTTGTTCAGTGAATCACTGCAGTTGATATTTTAGTAGTTCGGTTGTTAAGCGAATCTGGCTTCCCCATTGACTTTGCTTGTCAGAAGGTCGCAAAAGGGGATCACACGACCGCCGGGACACCGCAATGGTCATAAATATGAGTCAGTTGCAAGTGTCTGCATTTGGATCATGTCAGCATGGGGATGCTGCAATGGTCGTAAGTGTGAAACCACAGTAATAAATCACTTTTTCCAGTACCGTGGTAACTTCAAACGGTCACTAAATGAACTGTTAGGTTTTAAGTCGAGGATGACCTGTGCTGGATTACCACCTGAAGATTTAAGTGACTAGTTTGCATTTGAAACTCCCACGTACAAAGCGAATGTGGCCCTTCGCCATGCTTGTAATGGGAAGAGAAAAACAGGCATATACTAACAAGTAGTCCTCAGCTTATGACCACAATGGAGCTCAACATTTTTGTTGTTAAGGGAGAAATTGGTTAAGTGAGCTTTGCCCCATTTTACAACTTCATTTGTCACAATTGTTAAGGGAATCACTGCAGTTGTTACCGTGTTTCTCACAAAATAAGGCCGGGCCTTATTTTTTTTTGACCCCTGAAAAAACGGCTAGGCCGTCTTTTTAGGGGTGACTTAATCCCCCCCCCTTGCATCCTCGGGTGGGCAGGCAGCGACGGCTTGGATGTTGACCTCGGCGTTGGTGGGGCACTTCGTATCAGGAGACCTTCTGCCACCATTGCTTTCCTTTCTCCCATGCTGCCGCGGCTTTTAGAGCAACACTGCGGCGTTTGGCGCAGCCACGCATGGCCAGCCAGGGCTCCTCCCTGCAGCATAGGGAGAAGGGAAAGCAACAGTGGCGGAAGGTCTCCCGATACGAAATGCCCCACCAACGCCGAAGTCAACGCAGGCAGCACCATATCCAGGTATGCAACAAAAGTACTTCCTAACGGCAAGCCCCCCCATCATTCCCCCCCATTTCGTATGTTTAATATAGGCCTTAATTTGAGGGGAGGGGCTCAATTTTATTTCATGCCTATAAAACATGCTGGGACTTCCTATTGGGGGAGGCCGTATTGTTGGAGAAACACGGTAAGCTAGTAACCTGGTTGTTAAGTGAATTCAGCTTCCCCATTGACTTTGCTTGTGAGAAGGTTGCCAAAGGGAATCACTACAACGGTCATAAATGCGAATCAGATGTCAAGCAACTGAATGTAAATCACATGACCCTGGGGATGCTACAACAGTCTTAAGTGTGAAAAATGGTCATAAGTCCTTTTGTTCCGTGCCTTTGTAACTTTGAATGGCCGCTAAATGAACTGTTGTAAGTTGAGGACCACCTGTGTCATGTTGGACATGCTCAAATAAAATTTAAAAAGGCATTTTCTTTGTTTTTTTCTTTCAGAGTGGAAGATGATTTTGAAAAAATGTTGCAGGTGAGCTCTAAGCCCAAGCTTAAACCCAAACCCAACGTGGCCTCTAAGCCAGCAATACCTAGGAAGCCGGTGATACCTGAGAAAAAATTCTCATCTTTTCCAACCCGAACAGGACAGCCAGCGGAAAAGAAGATCCAAAGCATGGATGAGATGGACATTCTCAAATACATTAAGGAAAACGAATCCATCAGCGGTGCAGAGCCGAGCCTTTTCTGAAGCATTTTCTGCGCGTGGACTTTCCAACAGGAAGAATTTCCACCTGCCACTTGGGTCCTGGATGTCTAGCATACCTTGGACCCGTGTCCTTGGTTGCCCTTTTGATTGGTCCTTTAGTTCCATTGTTTTTTAAACAATGGAACTTGATATTGGGGTTAGAATTCTGCAAAAAGTTAATGAAGTTTTTGACACAGAGCCACGATGTTTTAATTAACAATGCCTTGTTTTAAAAAATGTTAAAGGAACAGAGCCGATAAAAAGAATGTTGCTAACCTTTGTGCCAAATGGATTATTTGGCTTGAAAAGTATCGGAGGTCAAAATTAATAAAAGGAACTAACATGGTTGGATTAAATATTGACACTAGGTTGACGTTGTTGTTGAATAGAAGTTGTTTATTTCCAAATGGTTTTCAAAACTTCTTGGAAAAATATCACTGAAGTGCAAGAAACATGCATAAAAGCATTTTTCAGAGTCATATTTCTCCTTTAAGGGTTATAATGCATTGAGTCTAGATCCTTGGGAGACTGCCTAAGTGCTTTCTGAACAAATAGCCTTATTTGTCTCTCAATTTTCTGATCAGATGGTAGGTTTTTGTGGTACGCTGGAGTCAGCTTGAAATGTCTACAGAACATGGCAGGGAAAGCGTCTGCAAAAGATTCCAGAATAATGATGTGAATGATGGCTATTTTTAATATCTTTGTAATTTGGGGATAGTCTCATCATCAACATTAAGAAGGGTGCTTCTTTTTGATGTTAAAGACTCGCATCTTGCATTATTGTTCGGTGGGAAGAAAAATATAGTTTGTTAGGTGCCAAGCCCCCCGATGCTTCTGGCAGGATTAGGAAAATGAACAGCAACACCTCAGTTTTGATAGTTGAATTATATATGATAGTTGAATTGGATAAGAGCTAATTAATTATTTGACAGCATACTCTTGTTATATGAACATCCTGTGTTTTTCACTCAGGTGACCCAGTCCCGACAAAGTGAATTAAGCCATAATACCAAATATTTGATGACTCGTTAAACTGTCTGGCTTGCTTTCTGAATCTAGAACTGAGTGAATGCAAAAAAGCAATTAAAGCACTTTAAAATATGTACATGTTTAATGCATAATGTTCCATTTATAATTACATAATGCTTTATTTTAAATAAAAAAATGATTAAGCACTACTAATACAGTATTAAACGTTTCCCTTGAGGAGTAAATAACAAACATGACTGGAACAAAATATAAGGTGGTGCAATAAAATAACAGAGAAGTTAGTTGTACAGGATGGGTACCATTTGTTATCTTTCCTCATCTGCAATCAGAATGGACAATTCTCTCCTGTTGAAAGTCCTTGTTGTAAGGGGCAATTAATCGAAGAGGAGAGAAATGCGCAGTAAAAGTGTGGCCCCAACCCATTTTCCTTCTCTTCTTCATTCCTTTTTCTATTTTAAACATCCCTTTCTTCCATGCCAACTGTAACCAACTCTTCTCAAAGGTCTACATTCATCATTTTTCAAGTATTTTTGACATTGATTCTAAGAGGGCTGTATAACATCAAATCTATTCTAAACAGAATGGTATCCTTAAAACAATTCCTAATTTAGAAATGTTATATTACATGCAGTACAGTACTAGACAAGGGGTACCATGAATATGTTGATGTAGTTTTTCTGAATATAACTGGGTTAATGCTGAGAAACATCTTGACTGCAGTTGAGTTATGGTCAGTTGGGGAAGCAACCTGCAAGATGATAAAGAAGACAAGTGGCTATAGATAAGAGAGAGAGAGCTGAGAGAGGTCTGGTGGGTTTGGCTGTGCCAAAAATGAGGCTTACCTGTTTCTCTGGCCCTATGCTATTGCCTGTTCTCCTGTCAGATGGGAAGAGTCAAAATCAGACCAAATCACAGATAAATGATCCAATAAAAATACAGAATCAAAACTAGAAATGGTTGGTTGCACAAGCATTGTAGAATGTGACAGTATAGTTGGATTTGATCTGCCTGTGATAATCTTGCAAAACACTTGATATCCTGGAGAATCTTCAAAATTATGTTTTTCAACAGGATATCTGATTCATATGTTTTATGTCATTATATCAAAATGCCAAATAGAATTCCACAGATTTGTCTCTAGTTTACTTTGGTGACTTGACGATCACCATACAATTGTTTTTAATTTTTTCTATATTTCCTTGTAGTTTCTACTGAAGGCTTTTAATTTTAAAATAATTATTTACTTTCGGGATACAACGTATGGTATTTTGCCCTAAATATTTCATTGGAAATGTATTTTACATAATAAAGTATATTTCTGTGCTATATTTTACCTTTGAGAGATGAGATGGAATAAATGCACAATAAAAGTTATTGAACTAAACTGGAAGAAAGAATTCTTTTATTTTAAAAAGAGCTGTGTAAGATTTTGCATTGTCCTTGACTTACAACCATTTGTTTAATGACTGTTCCAAATTACAATGAAAAAAGTGACTCCTGACCAGTTTTCACACTGACATGAATTTTTGATCATGTGACTATGGGAATGCTCTATTGTAGCAGCCCCATAGTCACCTGATCAATATTCAGGCACTTGACAAGTGGCACGTATTTAGGATGGTTATAGTATCCCAGGATCAGAACCTACCGGTTCTGTGGGTGTGGCTTGGTGGGCATGGCAAGGGAAGGATACTGTAAACTCTCCAGTCAGAGGTGGTGTTTGCCGGTTCTCCAAACGACTCAAAATTTCCGCTACTGGTTCTCCAGAACTGGTCAGAACCTGCTGAATACCCACCTCTGCAACTGAAGTGATTCACTTAACTTCAGCAATTTGCTTAATAACTGTGGCCAAAAGGTTGCACAACTCAACTGTCTTGCTTAGCAATGAAAATCTGGGACTTAATTGTGGCCATACGTCAAGGACTACCTGTAACATTGTTTGCTGGTTGTCCCCTTTTCCCCATAAAGATAAAAAAGGACTTTGTTGTAAGACTTACAAAGCAAGAGGCGTTTAACTCCATAAAACACAACATGCCCACATCAACCTGTGCTTCCCTGATTTAAGATCTTAATTCATACAAGGTTAAAAAAAAACTAACTTCATTCATGACATTCAGTTAACTATGCCTAAAAGTCAGGTGGCTATTAAATAGCACTCTTGTTTATTTGGGCAGTCAACTAAAATAAAATGGGAGGAACAATTCTGGAAACAGCTAGTTGTTACAGCAATTTTAAACTTCAAAGGAAGTGAAATACAGAAAAGTAGTTGGGGAGAAGATAATAGTAGGCATTGTGGTTCGTTACTCTATATATCACAAAGTTCGTTACTCTATATATCACCACAATGGTGAAGCAACTAGAACTGAGACTAAGAACTAGAAAATGAGGACCTTTGAATTCAGCAGGACTTTCTTGAGCAAATGAATGTTCACTAAGAGCAGTTTTCCTACAAGGAATTTTAATCACACTGAATAAGGAAAAACACCTTTTAAGATCAAACACTGCTTAGTTTTTCATGCCTGAATTCTCTATTTTAGGTCCTTTGGCTAACAGGATTATAAAATAAATCTTTAATATTGCAGCTAGGGGATTAAGGCCAGCAAACTATTTCCCAAGACAACCACTGCTGAGCTGAGAGTAGAATACAGCTTCCTAAAGTTATATCTATTGGCATCCAAAAGAGCCCCAATGGCTCACTGACACTAATGATTTACGATTTAAGCAGCTGTGGAATTAAGCCATAAATGGTACTCAGAAATAAATCAAAATTAGTGGCAACCCTTCTTGGTTTGCTCAGCTATATCATTCTGGACAGCAAATAATAGCTTAAGTCTTCATACTCTACATAAACGACCTCTGTGATCATATTAAGAGCAATTGCGTTCTCTTCGCTGATGATGTAAAGCTGTTCAATACCACAGACAATACTGCTACCCTACAAAAAGATCTTGACTATGTATCAGAGTGGTCAAACAAATGGCAACTTCAAATCTCAACAAATAAATGCTCTGTCTTACATATTGGCAAAAAAAATCAGAAAATAAAATACAAGCTGAATAGTCAAGATCTTGTTGATGACTCAAGCTCTGTAAAGGACCTTGGAATACTCACCTCTAATGATCTAAGTGCTAGAGCCCACTGCAACTACATAGCCAAAAAGGCATTAAGAGTTGTTAACCTAATCCTACGTAGCTTTTTCTCTGGTAATATCACACTACTAACCAGAGCATACAAAACATTTGCTAGACCAATACTCGAATACAGTTCATCAGTCTGGAACCCTCACTACGTATCTGATATTAGCACAATTGAGAAAGTCCAGAAATATTTCACAAGAAGAGTTCTCCACTCCTCTACTCGTTGTAGAATACCTTATGCCACCAGACTTGAAATTCTAGAACTTGAAAACCTTGAATTACGCCGTCTTCGGTCTGACTTAAGCATGGTATATAAAATCATACATTGCAATGTCCTACCTGTCAATGAATACTTCAGCTTCAACCATAACAACACAAGAGCACACAATAGATACAAACTCAAAGTAAACCGCACCAAACTTGATTGCAGGAAATACGACTTCAGCAATAGAGTGGTCAATGTCTGGAATACTCTACCCGACTCTGTAGTTTCTTCCCCAAACCCCAAAAACTTTAACCTTAGACTGTCTACTATTGACCTCACCCCTTTCCTAAGAGGCCTGTAGGGGGCGTGCATAAGCGCACCAACGTGCCTACCGCCCCTGTCCTATTGTTTCTCTTATTCTTTTATTTTTCTTATATGTACCCATTTCATGTATTCACAACTATGTATACATTTATACTTATTATCTTGTAAACAATTGGCAAATCAAATAAATAAATAAATAAAAATAAAGTCTGCTGTCCAAGCCAGCATGAATAACAGTGATAGAGTATTGTGCCCCACAATATCTGGATGGTCATGGCTTGCCCATTCCTGTCCAAGCAAAAAGCATAAATGTTTAGGACCTTGAATTTGTTCCTGCTGGAAAAGTATCGAGTGGGTTTCTATTCATGAGATGCTTCCAAATCCCCCCGCCCCTTGCCTGCTTCTTGATTATTACTACTGCAAAGTTGCTTTCTAATAATTTACTTTTGAATATACAGGCTCATTTTCTGGGCCATCAGAAATTATGTTCTATTGATACTGTAAAAGCTGTAAGATAAATAAGAAAATGATGATTATTCCATGTGAAAACTGCAAACTTAAAAACTAAAAGAGAGGGGAATAACAGTGACTTACAGCTCTTGAAAAATATAGGAAGAACAAAGAAGCATTATAAAATCTAATCATACTGTTTATTGTCATAACTCTTTTACCTGCATGGAAAATCGCATCGCCTATGCTTAATAATGAGCATATTTGCCCAGAAATAAACCCTGATGTGTTCAATGGGCACTTAAGAATGCAATTATAAAGTTCTTGTCTCTGGTTTTGATGATCCCAGCAGATGTGCTATTTATTCCTTTGTTAGTCATAATTTTATGGAACTATAATATTGGGGTGGGGGAGGGTGTAGGGTAGGCAGAGGCATTACTCATTTTTCTCTGCGATTTATGCCTACACAGAAAATGTTCAAAAAACCTGCAAGAGCTAAGTTTTTATTTGATCACCTTTGCTGAGGGTCTCATTTTATATGCTCAAAAGTTTAGCACATGCCATTTTAAAAAATGACTATGGGACTGTAGCAAATCCCATTTCTGAAGTCAGCAGATATGTCAAAACTCTCCAGAAGGATGATTCCTAACAATAATAACTTCTTGGCTGTACTAAGAAGAATGAGCATTCTGATGCCCTCTGGACATTTTGAACCACAAGTCTCCAGATCCCTGGACACAGGCCACGGCAACTGGAGATCATGAAAGTTGAATTAAAAAACAAAAACATCTGGAGGATACTTTTGAGGCCCTCTTGTGCTGGTTTCAAACATTCACTCTGACAACTTTGAATGATAAAATTCAGGATAAATTGCTGTCTGGTCTGGAAACTGCAGAGGAGGAGTTCAATCAGCTTATATCTGACCCAAAGGAGAGGAAAAAAAGTTGGATGCCCCAAAGTCCAACATAAGAACAAAGATGCGGATAAAGATAGAAAGCCAAAGATGGAAAGTTTTCAGTCAAGTAAATCAGTCAAGTGAAAACAGTTAATTCAAATCAGAACAAGCTGGAACCAGAGTAGGTGTAGCTGCAGGAGATGTCTTAACTCTCTGCATGTCTTGTAAAAAAATCAAATGCCAAAAATTAACAAGTTAAACTCAGTCTCCATTACTTCAGCTTCTTATAGTTGATTTTTGAGCTATGGATTCCTGGATGTTGACCTTACTTTGCTTCCCTGATTTGTGTCTGAATCTCCTGATTTCACCTGCTTTGTATATGCTAACACCTGGCATTCATTCCTGATAATAGATTCCTATGTGCTGATTTTGCCTCCCGCTTGCAACTTCCATCAGAGACACCGGCCTTGTACAGAATAGTTTGAAGAAATTGGTTTAGAACCCAGGCATTGTTTTCTTTTTTATTGTAGATAAATTTTAAACCGATGGGATGCTGTATAGGCCAAATTAGACAAGGTAGGATTGTACCAATGCACTTAGTATGGAGTTCTGTTATTTGGAGGGGAAAAACCAGGTGAAAATCTTTTTCCTTTGTTGTTTTTGATGAAAACTATTCTTTTTCAATAGAAGGGAAGCCTCCACTCTCATTAGCAGAGACTTTTCTGCTAATCTAAGGGGGGAAATATGCCCAAATGTCTTCTGATAGGTTCTAGAACAGAGCAATGATGTTATTAATGCATTCTGGTTGTAATTTGTTCTTTAAAAGTTATCAGTTTATCAAATATCCAGGGTGTTCTTCGTTTCATGAGTTGAAATAAACTTTTTTGATGATCCTAATTGTTGGATAGAAGACTCAGTGCCCCATGCAGATATTAGCTGGTATTATTGAGTTGTGCTAGAGCAGGGGTCTCCAACCTTGGCAACTTTAAGTCTTGTGGACTTCAACTCCCAGAGTTCCTCAGCCAGCAAAGCTACAGCAAAGCTGGCTAAGGAACTCTGGGAGTTGAAGTGCACAAGTCTTAAAGTTGCCAAGGTTGGAGACCCCTGTGCTAGAGGATGGCACTATTAAACAAATACTTAGAAGAGACAGAGAAGGGGCATCGCTGCTTGCCTATATGAGAAAAGTCACATTGGCGAATTTTTCAGTGCAATTTTTTTCCACAGCACATATGTTTTCTCGGTGTCTCATCTTGGGTTACTCATTCCAAAACCGTACTGTAAGTAAATGTTTGAGAAAATGCAAAAATAAACATGGCATCCAAAATTGTATTTGTTCCCTTACAAAGTAAACACGAG